GATTTTTGGAAAATTTGTGTTATGTTGACCCCTAAAATGGTACACTGACCGAAAATGGTACACTGACCGAAATCGCCAAAATAATTTTTCCGGAAAAAATTTTTTGACATTTTTTGGGCAATGTGGAATTTTTTGGGCAAAAAAGCTACCGCCCCCCCAGAATTTAGCGGCCCCGTACGCCTATGAGACTGCATATGGTGATAAGGCTTTTTCAATTCTCCTACATACTTTGCAATATTTTACCATTGTATATTCGCAAGTCATCTAGTGTTTTCACTTATAAGAAGTCAGTTAAAATATATCTTTTTTCAAAATTTGTTAGTAGCAAATGTATATTTATTTATATAACTTTAGGTACCTTTGTTTGTATATATGTAGTAGTTTTATTTTAAAATTATACGGCGCCTTGAACAGCTCTGGATTTGGGCGCTATATAAATAACGTTTATTATTATTATTTATTATTATTTGCAACAAATGCATTTCCATGTCTAACGGTCTTCTAATTCAAGCAGTATAAGTAGGAGACCCTTTAATTTGGTTAGAGATATTTATTTATATATATAAAAGTAAGATTTTACCTTGTATTAGACGAAGACGTTTAGTGCCGGGACAAAATCATCAAAAGTTGTTGAACTATATATCCTTTCTAAAAATCCTGTCTTGATCTTTCGTCAATTTTAACACTTCTTGACTGTTGACCTTTATTGCTATAATGACAAAATGAGATCGGTTATTAAACCTGCAGGGGACAGTTCAGCCTCCGTTCATGGGAACAGTTTATGGGGGAATTAACAGTCCAGGTTTTTCAATTAATGATGGTTTTTTTAAGGCGCATTTCAGGAAGCGTAATTCAATATCAGCAAGCTTAATCAATATCAGCGAGCTTAATCAATATCAGCAAGCTTAATGTTTTTTAACATTTTAAAACAATTTTTATTGTTAAAAACATTGAGTTTACTGATCTTGAATTATGCATAATGATTTTCCCAGTTAGATTTTTCAATTAAAAGGGCTGAAATGCGCCTTAAAAACCATCATTCAAAAGGCTGAACTGCATGTGCCTTTAGCAACACAGTGCGAATGAGGCATTAATGTAGGGATAGCAATCTGCAATCCTTTAATAGTCTTGACTGATAAACTATATTTATTCATATTCTTTTTCCATTTCTTCAATTTTGTAGAAACGAGTGATTTTGCAGCGGCCTGTGGTCGGGCTCGTGCTTTTGCTGACTTCGGATCCCGACCCAAGTTTGAGATGGGCAGTTCGACGTCACCAGAACTCAGTCCTAGCGCGCTCGATGTGGATAGATTTGACTTTCCTGTCGCGCAGAAAGATTCTGATGCAGATAAACATCGGTTTGAAAGTGGAGGGAGTTTTTATGAAGACGAAGTTTTGAAAACTGCCAAGAAAGATATTGCTGCTTTTCTTGGGTTAGAGGTACGGTCCATTTGCTACGGATCTTGAAATTCTTTTCGCTTCAATCACGTCAGATTTTAGCAGTACTTGACTCAAATGGGGATCAGTCATTGAACTGAGCCACTGAGGTCAACTAAGATAACAAAGAGACAACATGCTGTCAACACATCTTATGTAAATGAGTTCTCCGAAGCCGTCCTTTACCCTTGACACATTCCTTGATTTCCTTGCACGTCACGTTACACTGTATGAAACCTGAGAATAGTTTCTCATTGAACATAATACGGTGAACACATTGACCTCAGCACTAAGACTGGATGCAACTTTCTTTGTAATTTATGGGTTGATCTCGTAAATTTAAC